GGGTCAGTAGCAAGAGGTGGCAGGAAGATAAATGAGCAGGAGGTGGTGGAAGGTGAAGGCCAGCAAACAGCACTTGATCATCCTCCCCACCACTTGGGCTCTGCAGTGGTAGGGAAGAGGGGTCTGCCATACCACATTGTGCACACTGAAATACAAGGGGATACCCCCCGCCCCCCCAAAATGGAAAAAAGCTCCACTTGGAGACCTATCATAGTACACATTTTTCCCGCTAGGTGAGCATTGAGCAACTTGCTCTGAATTAATGCACCCAGTGGTGTCGCCGGGGAAGGTTCTCTCTGGTCAGAGAATTTTTTTATAAAAGCAGTTTCACTCGAAACTTGTTTTTAAAGATGGCCAACTTAAGAGAACAGCGTGTGACTGTGAAATTGTTTCCTGCTTGGGGAAAATACCACAAAAGAGGTGAAGAAAAAAAGGAGGGAGGTGCTGTCAGCCATCCAAACAGATGAGTTTGAAAACTGTTTCCAAAAATGGAATCGCAGATTTGATAAATGTATTTGAAGATAATATTTTGTAAAAAATATTAGCTATATATTTAAATTTTAAATATATAGCTATGAAAAACATTCCAGTTGTTTTGGGTACCCCCTCATATATCGATGGTGTCCAAAAGTCAGTGAGTGTGTGAGGCTGGAGCACAGATGACTGAGAACGGCCCGTCCGCTTGCATCACAGAAATGTCACATGACCACCATACCGGTCAGGGGCTGTGTATTAGCATGGTGAGAAATTACACTACTAGAGTGTCAAGTATTAGGGAAGTGTGTGTGTGTCAGAGAGTGGATAATGAGTACAGTGAGGTGGGTCCCAGTTTAAGCAAAGTTGTATCAAGATGAGGAGCCCTGGTGGCAAATGGTTATGCGCTGAGCTGCTAACTGCAAAGTCTGTGGTTCGAAACCACCATCTGCTCTGCAGGAGAAAGAAGACTTTCCTCTCCCGTCAAGAGTTAACGGACTGAAGAAAGTAAGTGCATAAGCAAATGTGGTGAAGAAAGCTGCTGTGCCTGGCTATCAAAAGATATAGCAGCTGGGGTCTTAAAGGCTTGTAACTAAAGGAGCGGCCATCTAGGTGGGGAGCAGCCTATGTGATCATGAGGTATTGGAAGAGGTATCAGAAGTTAAAAAAATGCAACCAATTCAGTGCGAAGGGGTATGGATGCAATAGCGACCCAAAACTCACCTGCAAGGTAACTGGACAGTCCATCTCCGAAGGGCCACATGGAAAGGCTGATAAATCCAGGGTGTGGCATGGCACTGACAAACCACATAATTTTCCACTAATTCTTTAAAATTTCCTGCCTTACTATTAAGCCTGTTATTTGTTTTACCTCATTAATCTTGTTGGATTTGCATATGTTCATTTGTATGTTTAAGATTGATTGGTATATGAAAGTCAAGATAGATAACCCTGCAGAATAACAGGAGTAATGGTTCCCTGATGGTACAGGAAGGGGGGGAATAGGGAGTTGTTAGCATTGATGATTATAGAACTCCACTCAATGGGATTGAACAGAATTGTATGCGAATGGATATATTGGATCCTGAAAGATATGTCAATAAAACTATTATATGTAAAAAAAAAAAAAAAAAAAGTTTGTCTAGGAAACTCACAGGGGTGGTTCTAACCCTGTCTTACTGGGTCACTATGGTGGCATCTACTTGATGACAGTGAGGTGGTTTTTTCAGTATCAAGGCTAAAATGGTAGTGGTTTGGTTCAATGTGGAGTCATATGTACTGCAGCTGTAGGGGAATTCATGTGTTCAGTGATCTCTTCATAAAGTATCATATCATACAGTAAGAGCAAGCAGCATTTCTCAATCCTACTTCCCTCAGCCCCCATTCCACACTTCACCTTCTACTTACCAAGGGCTCTCTAGCCCAGAATTCCAGGTCTTTAGATCCCACAGCCTGCTTGACAGCTAACTCCACATCTTTATTTCAAAGGTCTATAAAAGTTTGTATGACAAAGCTGAGTTGAAATCGTAATTTTTTTGTGTGCCAAATTTAATTATCCTTCAGTTCTCCTTCTCCTGAGTATGGTACCTCCTTCTATTCAAGTACTCTACCAGAACCCATCATTCTTGGCCATTGCTCTTCTTGTATCTTATATAGAGCCCATCAAACCCAGTTGACTTTCCTTACCAAACCTCACTCAAAATCCACTTCCCTTCACCACCACCTCTAGCACTCTGATCGTGTTCCTCTTCTCTTACCTGGAGAACTGTAACAGTGGGTCTCTTACATGACATGCTTGCTCCCTGCATTGCACACTGCACTCCACAGCCTGAGTGAACCTTCTAAGTAAAACTATGTTCATCTCACTCCCTTGATTAAGAATCATCCATAGTTTTCAGTCTTTAGGACTTCTTATCATAGTCAAATTGAATGAGCTCTCCCATAGACTATATCTACAGACTCATGTCACTCTCTACAGTTGTCAACTGTTCCATTACAATGGCCGCTTCTAGTTCCTTAATGTGCTATAGCAAAAATTTTTCTGAAAGTCACTTACTCCACTCCTATCTCTAGATTAACTTATCATTTATCATTTGGGTCACAGATAAAGTGTCACATCTCACAAATGCATTCTTTATCCCATTTCCCCATCCCACCACACTAACTTGGATTTTCCTACTAAATGCCTCAATTGCCTCCTCCCCTCATAGCATTTAACATTTCCTAACTCATTGCATAACTTAGTATTTTATGTTTTTGTCCTACTAAAAGGTAAACTTTTTTAGAGCAGGTATCATGTCTGCTTATTCACCACTATATTCCCTAGAATCTAAAATAATAGCTTTGTACACAAAAGTAGGAAAAATGCATTCTTAGTTACCAATCTGCAGAATCACAATGTATGCATGCCGACTAAACAACAACAACAAAACAAGGATTTAACTTTGTTTAGTCGTTTCTTTTCTAAACTTAATCATGGAACTTTCGACTGCATAGTTCTAGCATTTGGGAGTGGGGGGCGGGGCGGCATTTGTGTTCCAAGAAACACTATGATCTATTTTGAGTTGTCTGTACTGCCTCCCCGCACATCCAGTAAACAGATCTATGTAGCTATGCTTTTATGACCCTGTTCCTCCCTAGAGACTGAGTGGTGGAATTGCCATTCTGAGAAGTCATCGTGGGCCTTCTACAAGTAGAGAAGAGAGAAAACAGAGCCACCACAAAGCAGACACTTTAGGAAGGGCTCTCAGATTCGAAGGGAGTCAGCCAGGATAATAGGTGTGAAGTGCACAGAAGGACTAAACCCTTTCTGCAGGAATTCAAATTCTAAACCATTTAAACTAGAGGTCCTCAAAGTGTGATCCACCCAATTCAAGCACTGGCTCTGACAAAAATGACTACTGAGTGAGGCAATGATTCCACCACCTGTGAAATGAGGGGTTGGACTGGATAGCTGTGTCATATTTTAATATGCTAGCCTACACACGGGTTCAGCTAAAGTCTCTTCCTATAGATCCCCTACGGAAGATTCTTAAATGTCTTTAGTTCTGACTTCAAGTAGGTAAGTAACAAAAAACGGTGATGGGGAGAGATGGTAGTGGGGAGAGCTAAGCTTCTCTTTACCTGTTTCAAAAGCACAATAGAGAAATGCTTTAAAAAGTAAAAGTTCTTTGATGTTCCAATTTTTTTCAACTTAAAAGTAGATTTTTATACTAACTTCAGTTAGACCTATGAAATACATGTACCTAAAGACCAAATTATGCTTGTGAGAAACTATAATGAAAGGGTGGCTTCAAAATGTTTGGGTGGGGGTGAGGGGGAATTGTGGGGGGGAAATCTACATTCTTTTTCAATTCTATTTTTCTATGAACTTTTTGAAACCCCTCATATTTGTCATTTTTTTCTTCACACTTCAACTCAACCAAACAATCGACATTGTAGGAAATCAGAGAATTTTCAAGATTTTAAATAAGTAAAAGTTTTAAGAAAAATACCCTAAGATAAATAGTAAGAATGTCCTAGGGTAAAACTACAACTATGGGTTACATATCATTTTAGTTGACAATGAATAAAACCAATGTTTTGATTCTCAAGTTCTCCCCCAGCACACTGTTTTGTGATGTTGAGATGAAAACACTAACCAGAGGCTCGGCTGGACAACTCACTACGAGAACGCCAGGCTTCCAAAAGGGGACGCGGGTTCTCCTGCCTCTCCCAGAACACGGGAAAGCATGTCAGTCTCCCCCCCAAGAATAAACCCAAGGTCTGCATTGTTACATCCTTTTAAAATGATTCAGCTCAAGGAACTTTTTTTTTAAACAGAAAATGTTCCCAAGGCAGATGAAGGGGAAAAAATTGCTGAGAGGGACAAAAAAACGGGGAGGAAGAAATCTTTCAACAGAGTAGAAACTGTTCATTTCTCTGTGTGACCTTGAAGGGTTTAGATCCAACCTTATTTGTTATCCTAGAAAGGCTCTTCTGAAGAAAGGTTTCCGTGTAAAAACTGCTTGAAAGAAGCCAACCCCTTGGAAATAGGACCGGCTCAGCCATTTATTCCTGTCAGACGTGCTGCCTGCATGAATTGGTCAGCTTTGTCTTTTGGGAAGCCATGGAGAACGTTCTGGTGCACCTGCTTCTGGAGTCCTGACACAGCAGCAACAGCCACTTTTTTTTAAAGTTGAACATAACCACTCCCCGAGTGGATGGCTGTTAAGGGCACTCGCTGAAGCATCATCGGTGACTACAGTGTGTCAGCCTGCTCAGACGTAAAGTGAAAGGCAAAACAGTTATTTTCCTAAACTGGCAGAATTTAGGCAAATTATCACAAAACTGACCCTAGAAACAAAGAGAAATGGAGCAGAAAAAAGGCCAGATTTCTCCCTTGGCAGCACCCAGTGGCAGGTATCCCAGACCAAGCAAAGCTGCCAACTGGAAGCGGGGATATTAAGAGACTTTCCAAGAACAGCCAGGCGGTTTACACCGCATTCCCAACAGCTGGAGCGAGCTGTGAAAGCAACACACAGGGGTAAGGTCCAGCCTTATTCTTTATTTATAGCACAGTTCAAAGTCAATAGATCAAGTACAAAAGAAATGGCTTCCATTTCCTGGATTGGCATCAGACATCCTACCAGCTGCAATTACCTCACTTTAATCTATCTTTTGATTTTCCTCTATGGGGGATTGGAGTGGGGAGTGACAAATAGGCCCCACGAGACGTCTTCTTCAAATCCAAGGGGGAAATCGCTCCTTGCAGAGAAACAAAGGCAATGAGTCTCCCTGTTGTAGAAGCGAATTGGAACTTGGCTCCAGTTATGAAGGTCACCAACGCTGATGAGCAGATGAGAGATTCTTCCTGGAGGCAGCTCAAAGATGGCAAGGAGCTAGGAAATCAGACCTCTTCCCTCTCCTCGATGGCAACCTCTCTCCCCACCCCCACTCCACCCCCGTCAAATCTAATCTTTCTCCCAGAAGAAGGGAGAGATTATGTAGAAAAACCAAAGTAAACAGGAATGTGGGTGGAGTAAACATACAAGAAGCAACTGACAGTGACCAAAAGTTGTTCAGTACTGCTTTTCAAAGTTGGCATAAAAGTCTTTGATCCACTTCTGCATGTAACGAATTTCCAAGGAGCGGGCTAACCGCACAGTTTGGGGATCTAAGGGATTGCTGGATCGGAGATCCAGATGGTGGGCACCATATTGGATGTTGATCGCAACCAAATCGTCTGTGATGTTCTGGGTTACTCCACCTGCTGACCATGGGTCTAGTTCACCATTGCTGCAAGAGAAGGGGCAAGGGCAAAGTTGTTAGTTTTTCATATCTACAGTCAGATAAGGCAAGAGAAACCTATTACATATCCAACCCCTACAATTATAAAGGTATAACTTCAGGATTTGATTTAAGGCTCTCATCTGTGATACAGACAATGTATCTACAGCCACGTGTAAGAAACAGAACCAGAGAAGACTGAAGGTGATACTCCATGCACCTAACATTCTTATTCTTATTCCGGCTTCATCACTCAATAGCTACATGGCTTTAAGCAAATTACCCAAGTCGATTTCCTCACTTGTAACATAAAGGTAATAAAGCCTATTTCTCAAAGCTGTTGTAAGGACTAAACATGTATTTAATATGCATGAGACCAGCTACATAAGAGTCTCTCCATTACTGCTAGTTTCCCTCATCCCTTGGGCCCAAACCACCAAAATAATTAAAAATAACAACAAAAGATCCATATTTTTAAAGTGGTAATTATCTCTTTAATCTTAAAAAAAAACTATAGCAACCCAAAATTACCTTTAAAATAAGTAACAATTTAGCCCAAAGAATAAAAATTGTCACCCTTGCACATTGAGTTTTTAAAAACATTCTGCATAAAACTAAGGGGGTCAACAGCTTGGTTTGTAAGCAAAGATGAAAAGGTTTGCTGGGCGGAGAGGGAGGTGAAGAGGTTAAGTCACGGCAAGTGGAACCGCTAGAACAAAAATAAGTGAAGCCACGGAGCCGATTCGCGACCATTACATCCAGAAACTATGGGATGGGCACAGGATTGATTGGGTCTGTTTCCACCAAAAATTAAATTAAGTTTAAAGAAAAATACTGTTCAAAAACCAAACCCACTACCATGGAATCGGATCCTATGTAGGGTGTCTGAGATTGTATATCTTTACTGGAATAGACAGCCTCATCTTTCTCCCACACAGAAGCTGGTAGGTTTGACCTGCCAATTTCACAATTAGCCATCCAACCCAACCTAACCCAAAGTACCACCAGGGCTTTTGTTTAAAACCTGTAACTAAAAAGCCCCCTGGTGTTCATTATATTATATTTATGTGCATATATATATATATACATATATATATACTATTATACATGTGTGCATACATATATATTTCACTCCCAGTATAATACTTTCAGAAATAAGTGGTAGAATTAGGAAGAAAAGTCATGGATTTGGAATTAGAAAATATGGGCATAACTCAAAGATTTGCATCTTACATTAGCTGTGAAGTTAAGGAAATATGACTGGGTTGTTACTATTCTTGGAGGGTCCACACAACATATTTTAGGATGATGTAAACAGGAACAGTCATTGAAATAGGTTGTTTAGCTGAGTAAAAATAATAATAATAAATGACAGCATCCTCACTACTATTTTGTCTTATTCAGCTATAATTCACCAAGCATAAATTTATCCATTAAAAAATACAGTTCCGTGTTTTTTAACATATTCACTTAGTTGTACAACTATCACTATAATCAATTTTCAAACATTTCATTAACCCAAAAAGAAACCTCAAATAATTATGGACCCATTCTGCAACCCCCAATCCTGGAGCCTACTCAGTGCTAGGCAACTACTACGCTGTCTTTATAAGCACTTAGACTGGCTTCTTTCATCTAGTATGTTTCAAGATCCATCCAGGTTAGAGTGATAGTAGCTTACTCTCAGCATGGATGTTAGAATTAGACACCTAGAACCAGGGTTGGCATTTGGGTGAAACTGAACAAATTGTACTGAACGAATAGAGAAAGGATGTAAGTCTCCTTAAACTTACAGGTGCTTTATAAAGAAATCTCGCATATGTATACAAGTTCTTGGGCATGGTGTAACTCACTTCAGTCCTTTTTACATGGAAACTCAGATTTAATATAAATACATGAAGACGGGACTCCAGCTGTGTGGATTAGTGGAATAAACAATACACTAAGTCAGCAGATTCCATTCAGTCTCTGAGAACCTGAACTCTAACATGTACCAGAAAACATAAAATTAATAAAATATAACACTGTTCCTTCACAGTAAAACAAGCCCTGGTAGAAGTGGTAACCACAAGGTCCTCAGTTCAAACCCAGCAGCTACTCCAAGGCAGACAGATGAAGCCATCTGCTCCCATAGAGACGGACAGCCTAAGAAGGGTCACTGTGAGTCACAATCACCTTGATGGCACTGAGTCCCAGCAAGGTGAAAATGTGAGCACTTGTGTTGATGATATAGGTAGGAATAAGATGTAAACTACGGAACACTACACAAATGTGAAACCTCATTCCTGGGGTGAGGTCCAGGTAGTATGACAGGGGCCAGACCAAATCCAGGGATACATATGGTAGCCAACTAAAAAGGAAGGGGAAAAAAGAAGAAACGGGTAGCAGGGGAACAGGGCACTAACCTGCCCAAGGGGAGGATATTGTTTATTATCTCCACAGGAAAGAGGGACCAGACTCCAACCCGGTGCCCCAAGATGTGAAAGCAACATACTGGCACCAAGCAGGGAACCAATAGAGATGCCTGAGGGGCTGGCCCCAATCCCAACTACATGGACATCCCCCCCTCTCTCCAGAAGAATTTACTTCAGAGGACAGCACTGAAACTGCAGCTAAGGGAGAAGGACATGTCTGATCAGAGAACACCAGAGCAAATGAAGGGGAAGGAAGAGAGCGTGGAACACATCATGGCCCACCAAACCCTGAGGATGTTATCCGTGCTCAGAGCAGTCAATACACAGAGAAGACCATATGGCCGGCACCACTATGAGACACGACGTCCCTCATTGACCCATGGCCCTACAGGGGACAACACTGAAGACACAGTGTGGGAATTTTGCCAAATCTGACCTCAAAATACCAAGGCAAAACACTAAGGACCTGTAACAGAACAGCAAGGGGGACAGAGCAAGGAAGTCCAAACGGAGTATTAAAAATAGACTGTGGGGCTAAGGCATGGTACTCCATCAGACTCGACCGGAAAACACTCCTGAAGGTCAACAAACAGACCTTCAACTATTTACAGGCTTTTCTTTTTGTTATTGGTTTGCTGTTGTTGTTATTGTTTTATGCTCTTGTTGCTTGGTTTTGCTCTGTCTTGTTTTGTGCATATTATTATCTCTGCAGGTCTATCCAGATAAGATAGGCTGAATAAACAATCTGGAGGAGAAAACAATAAGACCTATGGTTCCAGGGGGACATGGGAGAGGGGGAGGTGGGGGAAAGGAAGTAGTGTTAACAAACCCAGGGACAAGGGACTAACAAATGATCCAAAATCAGTGGCAAGGAGGGTGTAGGAGGCTTGGTAGGGCTTGATGAAGGGCAATGTAACCAAAAGGAATTACTGAAACCCAAATGAAGGCTGAACATGATGGTGGGACAAGAGGAAAGTAAAAGGAAATAGATGAAAGAACTAGGAGGCAGGGTAGTGTGGCAGGGGCCAAACCAAATCCAGGGTTATATATGGTAGCCTTTTATAGAGGTCTAAATACAGGCATGTACATATGTAAATATATTTATATATGATGAGAGGGAAATAGATCTATGTGCATATATTTACAGGTTTAGTATTAAGGTAGCAGGTAGACACTGGACCTCCACTCAAGTACTCCCTCAATGCAAGAACACTTTGTTCTATTAAACTGGCATTCCATGATGCTCAACTTCCCAACATGATCGCTGAAGACAAATGGGTACATAAGCAAATGTGGTGAAGAAAGCTGATGGTTTCCAGCTATCAAAAAATATAGTGTCTGGGGTCTTAAAGGCTTGAGGGTGAACAAGCAGCCATCCAGCTGAGAGGCAACAAAGCCCACATGGAAGAAGCACACCAGCCTGAGTGATCACGAGGTGTCAAAGGGATAAGGTTTCAGGTACAAATGTGCTTGACACAATGGATGGATGGATTGTGATGAGTTGTATGAGCCCTTTAAAAATTATTTTTAAAAACCCTCAGGAACAGTCGTGGGAGTAGCACTCTCATGAGGGTAGAGGGATGGTCGAGGAGGGGGAAGGGGGAACTCATCACAAGGTTGGATATGAACGCCCCCCCCCAAGGTGACAAATAACAGAAATGTGGGCGAAGGAAGATAATGGACAGTGTAAGATATGACATAATAAAAATAACAATATATAATTGATCAAGGATTCATGAGGGTGGGAGGGTGGGGGAGGGAGGGGAAAAAGAGGAGTTATACCAAGGGTTCAAGTAGAAAATGTTTTGGAAATGATGATGACAGCATACGTACAAATATGCTTGATACAACTGATGTATGGAATGTTGTAAGAGCCCCCAATAAAATAATTAAAAATAAATAAACTATTTTTGTAATGTGAAACCTTATAATGATCATAGTCTATACACACGAGAAGTGTTAGAAGTCCAGACTCATAAAACCTGATGTGAAAGCATGTCTCCTAACAATGTAGTCAGAGAACAAATGCAGGTGACTCTGTCTAGGCAAACGTACAAATGACATGAGGGAAAAGGCCGGCACACTAAGCTGATGTGTGTTAAAAACACAATTGTCAATTTCCTATTTTACCATCACCACTGTTCAGTTGGGGAAAAAAAGATTGATTCAATTGCAACTTAATAGCATCATTTTAGAGGGTTGGGAGTAAAATATAACTCCAAAGAGGCACTTTTTTGTTGTTTTGTTAAGAGCTAAAGGGAAAACTGACATGCAAACAGCAGCCTTAGTTTTAAGCTGCAAGATAAAATTTTAAAGTCAAACTACACATGGGGTTGGATTCTCTTAAGTGAACAAACAGCCTTTATTGTTATTTCAACTTGACAGGCTCAACCCAGATAGGAAACTCTCCATTATTTGCAAAACAAAAAAACCATCCCAACAGCCACATAATAAGCAAACCGCATTTGATTTAAAAGGTCATCTGAATCAGCCTTGTGGCTTAGCAACAGTGTTTGGAGTTGCTGAGAGACCTAAGATGCACATGGACTTGGATTTCTTGGTCCTAGACACGCGAAAGCTAAAACCAGTCATTGG